TCCTCCAACAAGGCCACACCCAATTCAACAAAGCCACACCTCCTAATAGTGCCACTCCCTTTGGGGGCCATTTTCTTTCAAACCATCAATCACTAAATTCTAAGCTCTCTCCTTTAATCCTAGGCCAGACAGAAAAAGAGCATTTCTCCAACTGAGAAAAGTTGCCCATGCTTTTCCTATTATGATGCATTATTTTTCTGCAATGCTTTCCTATCTCTTTAGACTAAGGTAAAAGTGACCAGGAAGTCTATAGACAACTCCCAAGAATTTTAATTTAGAATATATTTTAAAGTTAAAAATGCTAAGAAATGTAGATGCTTCACACAAGCAAACACAGTCATCTCATTTTAAAGGCATCTCTGAACTCCTAAACTCTAGGTCAGTCATTCTCAATCTGTGAGTCATGACCCCTTTGGGGGTCAAAGACCCTTTCACAGGAGTTGTCTAAGACTATCAGAAACATCAGATATGCTGTGGATGATTGATTGATAAATAAAGTGCTGATTGGCCAGTAGCCAGGCAGGAAGTATAGGCAGGATAAGGAGTGAGAAAAATTCTGGGAAGTGGAAGGTTGAGGCAAGGAGATGCTGCCAGCCACTACTATGAGGAGCAGGATGTAAAGTACCGGTAAGCCACAAGCCACATGGCAAGCTATAGATTTATAGAAATGGGTTAATTTAAGATATAAGAACTAGATAGCAAGAAACCTGAGCCACACAGCCATACAGTTTATAAATAATATAAGCATCTGTGTGTTTGTTTGGGTCTGAGCAGCTGCAGGATTGGCGGGTGAGAGAGATTTTTCCTGACCGTGGGCCAGGTAGGACCAGGAGACACATATATTTATATTATGAGTCATAACAGTAGCAATGAAAATAATTTAATGTTGAGGGTCACCACAACAGAAGGAAATGTATTAAAGGGTCCCAGCATTAAGAAAGTTGAGAACCACTGCTCTAGGTTCTCTGCATTTGGGAAAGTAGTAGAGTCGTTATTCTGATGGCCACTGAGTGTTTAATTAATGATAATCATAGCCTTCCCAGTTCAGATTTCCAGAGTCAAGTGCATGGGCAGAGAAGACGCAGGCAGGAGTCAAGCGAGTTTATTGTCCAGTAACTTTAGTGTTGAGCTTCCTCCTTGCCAATATCGTGAGTCTCTCTGTGCTACTGGAAGACAAGAACACTGTAAGGAATCTGGGGAATGGGCAAGTATGGAACCACTCACAAAGTATTCATTAGTGGCACATTTGTCTGAGTCAGTGTGCTATAGATGACAGACTTTCTATCTATAAGGGCAGCTCAGGATGGACACAGAATGGATACGATAAGGGAACACTGTAAGTTCTTCCTTCAATCCAACAGAAGGATCAACCTCACCATGGTGGCAGGAGCAGGGCCAAAAAGCAAAATAGGGAGTGACAAGGAGTTCTCTCAAAGATGGGGCTGTGTAACCTGTGCAGGGGGAAGGAAAAACCTGATGGGGGCGGGGTGGTGGTGGTGGCTGGGACAGCAGGTGCAGAGACTCTCAGGGAAGGAAACAGAGTACTTGTTGAACTTCACGAAGGTTTGCTTTAAAAAGGCTGTGGGAAGGAGGAAGCTGGAGAAAGTACCGGGGTCAGCTCAAGGACGAACATGGATGGCTATGCTAAGGATGCTAAGGATTTGATGTCAGGATAGTAATGACATTGCCGTCACTTATTTCCTGCTCTTATTCTGTGTGAAGCATGAGTGTGAGTACTTTATGTGAATTAAATTCACTTAATCCTCATAAGAATTCAACAAAGATAAGTATTACTATTTCTGTTATTTTATGGATAAGAAAACTAGGGCAATGTAGAGGTATAAAAGAATTGGCCTGAAGGCATGTCTATGGCACATTGTCTTGACTGTTGGTTGATGGAGGAGGACCCAGTCTACTGTGGACAGCACCACTGGGCAGACAGTCCTGGGTTGTATAAGAAGGCCAGGTAAGCATGGGCCTTAGTTCTAGCTAGCAAGTAGCACTTCTCCATGGTTTCTGCTTGAAGTTCCTCCTTAAGTCTCTGTGTGACCTGGAAGTGTAAGACAAATAAATTCCCCTCCCAAGTTACTTTTTGGGTCATGTTGTCACAGAAATAGAAAGGAAACTGGACACACACTCAGGGCCCCTTCTAGGCTCTGTGGTGGCTTGACTTAGAAGAACTAGTGTATTTGACAGTTGGAAGGACTTGACTTGTGGCCCTGACACCTGGTCTATATAATAAAACTGTAGTTGGTGATAATTATACTATTGCACAAATGAAAGTAGAAAGAAAAGTAATATGAAGTGAAACTTTTCTTATGTATAATCATGCCTACAAAATAAACTAAAAAGATAATGAGTCTTAGCATAGTAATTCTAAATGACATAAATATATTTTTGGAAAATGAGAGTGAAAATGCATGCTTTCATGCTAACCCAAAGCAACAATTAGTAACAAAGATGGCCAGAGAGCTTCCGAGGAACTCAAGCACCTGTAGAGGAGAAGGGCCTTCAGATAGATGTGTGCTGAATGGCTTTCCATAGGGAGAAGCATGGGAAAGGCAGGGAGGTGCGAGCAGGCCCAGAGGCAGGCACTGTACGTCATTTGGCCTGGTGGACCAAGAGTCTCTTAGAGAGAAAGGGCAGTACAGAAAAGATGACATTAGCAAGGAAAGACAGAGGGTTAATATGTGAGGGGGAGATGCTTCTTGAGAAGTCAGGTAGCAGGGTGCTGGAAAGTGGTTAGGCAGTGACGGGAGAGGCAAAAGACCAAAGTCATCCTTGCTTACATAAAATTCTGTCTAAAAAAAGAAAAGAAAAAAAGAGTACTGATGCCTTGAAGTCAGACAGTCACTGTTGGGAGACAGAAAGCAGAGCATAGCATTTGCATGGGTGGCATCTGGAAACAGGCTTCTCTCAGAGTGCCAGGGACTGAGACTGGAGTCATAACCCTGCATCCCAGTTCTTTATATGTCTAAAGATAGGGTCTCAGGTGTGTCCTGGGCTGACCTTGAACTCACTATGTAGCTGAGGAGGACCTTGAAATCATGATCCTCCTGCCTCCACACCCTGAGTGAGGTGATTACAAGCATGCACGACCACATCTGATTCATGTATCATTAGGGGTGAAACCCAGGGCTCTGTGCAGGCTAGGTCAGCACTGTACCAACTGAACCACACACTGTGCCCTTCAGATTTGCTTCTTACAGCCCCTCCATGAGCTCAGATGTGCTACTGAGTGCCGGGTGCTACCACTGGCCCCTGGCCATGTTCACACTGTATCTGCTGAGAAGAGAGTGTATGCTTTTCACACAGCAGCCCTAAGAATGCCTTGTGGAAAAGGTGGTCCTGAGTGCCAGTGTGCAGCTCCTGCCAGCCTGGGAAAGAAGGTTATAGGCTCTCTTTCACCCTTCAAAAATTTTTGATGGCAAAATATATGGTGGACCTCTCCTTGGGTCACCCCAGTGAGATGGGGTCTTGGTATCCATGAGATGCCCATTCTGTTGGTCAAATAACTTTTCTGACAGAAGGGAAAGCATTCTACAGAGACCCCTGTGCCCTTCCCTCTGGCTATCAGACTGTTAAGACAAGGGTCCCCAAGAAGTTGGGGTCTCAGGCTAGGTGAGTGGACAGGGGAGTTGGTCAGTCAGAGGCAGGCTTTGTCTGTTTCACACAGATCTGACAACCTGTCAGATCACTTTTGCTGCAGAGTCTGGAGCTGAGATGATAATGTGGTCAATGATAGGCAGGAGCATACCTGGATCAGGACTGTTACCAGTCATTCTTGCCCTGAAAATTTAAGTTGTATTTCTATACACCTGTGTGCACATGTGTGGGACTCAGAAAATAGTTTTCAGGTCTTTCTTTCCACCATGTGGGACCAGGGCATTGAACTCAGGTCTTCAGGCTTGGCATAAATACCTTTATCCACCCAGTCACCTCATCCTCTGTTTAGACCTGCACCCTATGTCAGGACCCCAAAGATCCAAAGATGGACTTGGGGAGTCACTGGACCTTGTGTGTGTGTGTGTGTGTGTGTGTGTGTGTGTGTGTGTGTGTGTCCCTCTTCCCAATGTGGCCACATTGAAAAAATTAAAAACTCTCTCTGCTTTTCACTACTGTCTTTTGCTGACAATATGGAGTATGGGTGGCCAAGCCTGGCTTGTTATGGGTAGCAGAGCCTAACAGTTCAAGTAGAGTGGGGGAAGGATGGCAAACAACCCAGCTGTTCTGCCCCCATTGCACTGTGGGAACTTCCCTCTACTATCTCCAGATAAATGACACGATACAGGCTTGGGGCACAGTGGAAAGATTGGGAGGAGACTCTTACCAACCAGGTCCCCTCTAGCTCTGTCCCAGATAAGCTGCACAGCCCAGAGAATGTAGCCAGACAGTGAACAGAGCTCTCTGTGCTGTAAATAGATACAGAGAACAGGTTCCAGAACCACCAATTGCTAGCAGCTCCCAGAAACTCCCAACTTCTCCCGAAAAATCAGGGTGATGGGCAGAAACCACACCCCTCCTGTTATTCCGCATCTGCCTGGGGTATGACCTCATACGTTTGTCTGCTTGGATATAGGTACACAGAGACATGTACACTTTCTTGATTTGGAGACACCAGGCAACGGTGGCAGAATAAACATGCTGTCTCTTGGTTCTCCATCTGTCACAGTACCTACTAAGAGGGCACGGAATGGTAGACTGGCTCCAGACCACTCCAGAGCCTCCTAAGTGTGGAAGTGGGGGAAAGCCTGTCACTACTTTGTGATTGTTTTCTTCCTTGGGTCTCTCTTCATCTTTCTCTCTCTCCCCTCTCTCCCATCTCTCCCTTCCCTCCTTCCCTCCTGCTCTCTCTGACAGTGTCTTCTATGTAGCCCCAGTATGCACTAAGTAATCCAAGCAGGCTTCAAATTCAAACTGGAAGCAATTCTCCTGTCTCAGCCTTCTGCATGCTAGGGTTCCAGGCATGTGCTCCCACACAGTCTGTGATTGTCTTTTACCTTAGATCCCTCTTCCCAGCCCTTCCTGGGGGAGGGCACATGGCTCTGGCTCTGGTCCTCTGCTTGCTGGGAAGGTCCGCAGCCCATCGCTCCTCCTCTCTAGGCTCTGCCTGGGAGCTCCTGTCTCGTCTTTGAATCCCTGTTTCCCTGCCTGGGTCCAGCGCGTCCCTCCTCCCTCACCTCCAGGCTGGGCAGGAGGTTGCTGGGAACTGTTGCCATAATAAACCACATCACGCAGACCTGGGACCTGAGCAGCGATGAGACTTTTGCAAGGGAAAACTAGAAGATCTGAGAAGCTCTCCAAATCCCTAACAGGATACAAATTGGTCTCTCCCAGGCGCAAAGGGAGGGAAGAGTCTAAGCATCCTCCTGGATGCTCATTTCTTTATCTTTGGCAAGACCCCGGACACTCCCACACTCCCCTTACCGGGTCCAGGCATCACAGCCTGGCAGCCAGTGGAAGGCAATGCAGACAGCCGGCAGAGGCAATGTCACAGGGCACAAGCTCAGAAAGGATGGTCACACAAGAAACAAACCCACCCCATGATGAAAACCACACAGGACCACAGAGAGCTCTGCTGCTGCCAGTGGGTCTTGAAATCATTTTTACCTTGTAAGCTCCACTTTAGGAGTGGTTGGGCTGGGGGATGGTATATCCATATACATTGTGTAGAGAATGAAACAAATATGATGTCACTCGTCAAGAAAGGCAGAGCAGGGACTGCGGCTGCTCACGCGAGCAGCATACTTTCCTTCCTGAACCTCCGAACCCTTTCATCCTGTTTTCAACTTTGTTTGCCTTTTTAAACACTGAGGAAGTGTAGTCGAAAAGATACTTGAGACGTCTCAACTCTTCGTTTTCAAGGAGTGACTTTCCCAAGACCTCCAGGGAGCTAGTTAATGAGGGAACTGTGACCCGGACCCAGGGGGCCTGCTCAGTCCCTCCATGTCTCAAAAAAACTGGAAAATGCAACCCAGGCTTCTTGGAAATGTAAAACTCCCAGGATCTTCCCAGGGAATCCAGAGCTCAGCTGTTGATGAGCACCTAGATTACAGCTGCTTTACAACACACATTCATTTGCTTATTGCAGACCAGGCTGGCCTCAGCTTACTACATAGCTCAGAATGGCTCAGCATGCCTCTGCCTCACTCGTGTTGGGATTAAAGGGTGTGTAATTGTTTTTCAATTTTTATTTAATTTTATTTTTGGCCTTTTTGAAATGGGTCTTCTTATGTAGCCTGGTCCTCAGCACAGAACCCAGGCCTGCCTCCGGCTCACAGATATCCTCCCGCCTCAGGCTCTCAAGTGCTGGGGTTGTAGGTGTGAACTACCACTCTGGGCTTTATTTTACAGCACTTAGATTCACTTCACTCTGTTGTCTGCTTGCTGCTCACATGATGGTGCTTGTCAAGTCTTACTAACTTCGAGGAAGATTGAAACCCAAGTCTAAGTCTTAAAATTATGAAACGACAGACACTGAAGATTTGTGAATGAGGAATTGAAATAAAGCTAAAGGGTGTTTGAAGACCATCTCTGGAAGCACAGGCTCGTGGATTAACTAAGCTACTTTGCAAAAGTCTCACCTAGGATAACGCAATGCAAAAGGCACTTGGGAAATGTTCTTGGAAAAGTTCAATGGGTGTTGATAAATGGGTAAGTGTTGCAGACACCTGTATGTTTCTTGAGGCGATCTGTAGACAGAGGTTTTCAGGGAATGAATGGCGTGGCACCAAAACGTGGTGTGTGGGCCTTTTCTGCAGCATCCTAGGACTGTGGCACAACACTGTGAAAATACCATTTTCCTAGGAGTGTCCTGGGGCCAGCTCCTGCTGGCTCGTGAGAGCCCATCGCTAGCACAGTTGGGTCCCAGCTGCTAAACACAGGCAGTATCAAGATTAAATCTCATAACCTCAAGAGTTATGTTAAAAACAACAGTAAAAATTAGAGATACACTATGTGTGGCAACGGGGTAGAACATCTATTACCGCAAAAGATGGAAAGGAAACGGGAGAGATGGGAGAGAGGAAGTACTGAAGAGGAAAATGATGGGAAGAATTAACACCAAGTCTATTAGAGGAAGAGAATCACTGGCCTGCCTCATTTGTTAAGGTATTTTCTGTCTGGAAAGATCTCCATACCAAAATGACAAGTAGGATCCGTGATGGCACACCACCTTCTTGCCCCTTCTTCCTGGCGGAGAGAAGGGGTTTTTGTCAGTCAGCATGAAGAAAACAGCACTCAGCCTCACTCCTTCTTCCTTCCTTCCCTTCCCTGACTCTCTCTCTCTCTCTCTCTCTCTCTCTCTCTCTCTCTCTCTCTCTCTCTCTCTCCTTCCTTTTCTCTTTGTTTTCCTTTGTTGTTTGCTTGTTTGTTTTGTTTCTCACTCTAGCTCAGGCTGGCCTTTCCCTTACTGACTCTGTGGCCAGTGCTTTCCTCCATCACAGGCTCCGAGGAATGCTGGGATTATAGGTGAGCACCATCACACTCCACTTACCAGGAAGGACAGGTAACCTGCAGCAAGACAGTCTAGCCCTCGGGACACACTAGATTAGGCAAAGAGGGGCACGCAGGGCAAGTCCCACTCCATGTTGACAGCCTTCCCATTCAAGTCCCAACTCCAGGCATTTGCAAGAAGTGGGAAATCAAGCAGAGAAATCAGTTCTGAGGCCGACTGCAGCCCACTGTGTTTTCAGCATTCTTTCAATGCATAGCATGATCCTACACTGACTTCCATCCCAAACACTCCAGACTGCCTCATCGGTACAGTAACAGCTAACAGTTTGAGTCCTTGCTATGGATGAGGTCAATAAATGAAGTCCATGACTGTTATCTCTAGTCCATCAATCTCTTACCGGTTCAGTGAGGGTTAGAAAGTCAGGACCCCAAGTCGATTTTGGCTCACAGCCTGCCTTTATGTGACCCATGAGGTAAGGATAGAGTCTATGTTTTTAAATGGTTGAAAGAGACCAAGAGATAAACATCATTTAGTGACTAAAAAAAAAAAATGTGTAATTCAAAATTCAGTTGTAAGGATTATGTCCTTATTACAGTCACCAGCCTGCGACAGCATCCCAGCCTAAAAAGCGGGTGCCCTTCCATGGGTCTCTTTTTTTCTGTATTCTCTCTCTCTCTCTCTCTCTCTCTCTCTCTCTCTCTCTCTCTCTCTCTCTCTCTCTCCTAATAAAGCTCTAAAAGGTAACCATTGTGATTCTTCCCCCACCGCGACATCCAGCGCTTTCTTCCGTCTGCATGCCCACCGCCCGCGGCGGCCAGCCGTGAGCGCCGCCATTAACCCCTACACCAGTGTCTGTAATAAATTTCACCAGAATATGGCCCGTCTGGCTTGTTTACATCCCTCGATGGTGAGTTCATGTTAGAACGAGCAGAACTAAGTAGCTGTGGCAGAGAACATATGGCCTGCAAAGCTTGAGAGAGTTATTACCTAGATTTTACAGACACTATTCAAAGCTCTTGATTTGACTTGTTTGTTTATATTTTGGCTTTCTGAAGCAGGGTCTTGTTGTGTAACTCAGGATTCTTCTGCCTCCACCTCCTCAGTGCTGTGATGATAGGCATGCACCACAATGCCTGGCTTGATCCTGATTTTATTTTACTTTTAAAGTGAAAAAGGTGTGTGTGTGTGTGTGTGTGTGTGTGTGTGTGTGTGTGTGTGTGTGTGTGTATGTGGTATGTATGTGTATGTGTATATGTGTTTGCTCAGGCACATCTGTGTGGGTGGACATGTGAAGGCACATCATTTACTTCCTTTTTGAGACAGCGCCTTTGTTTGGCTTAGAGCTTACTGATTGGGTTAGGTTGGTGGGCCCGCAAGCCTGAGGGATCCTCCTGCCTTTGTCTCCTGAGCATACTGCCCCTCACAGCTTCTTACGTGGGTGCTGAGACTCACACTCAGGTCTCATTCCTTCAAGACAAACGTTTGCTTTATGAACTAAGCCAGCCCCTGACCTTCACTTTAAATGGTAATGTCCATAAGCCGTTTAATATCTACTTTTTACTTGGGATCTGAGGGCCTGAAAGAGTTTGTGGTGTTTTCAGAAGGGGGGCAAACTCTCCCTGGTGTGTGTGTGTGTGTGTGTGTGTGTGTGTGTGTGTGTGTGTGTGTGTGTTAGGGTAGGGAGGTGGGTGTGATTCATTAAACAGCAGATCTATCGAGTAGACACTGAATGCCATTCCATTCAGCTGAGCACCCCCCCCCCCTTCATACACACACTTTGCTGAGGTGCCCTTCTCCTCAAGGAGGCTGTGTAGTACTGAACAGAACCTTGCTGGGTTGACTTGCTGGTTTTCATCAGAGCTGGGGTGGGGAAGCATTGCAGTTTCTGGAAACAAGAAGAGAAATTTCCAGACTGTGAGGCAGGCAGGGGTAACAGTTCAGGTGTCATTTTAACTTCAAAGATCTCATTTTAAAGTTGCATGTTCCAGGTCTTCACATCCCTCTTAAAATCACTTCAACCCAACCACTGTGGTTCTGGCAGCATCCATTCATTGCATTACTCAGAGCTGAGTTATTGGTCTCCGGAACGCACCCCATCAAATTCCACTCCCCAGTCGGTCCACAAAGCGTTTTGTGATGACGGAGGAAACTGTTATCACTAAGGAAAAATTGCATCAGAGCACCTCACACAAAATGGCAACACAAAGCCCAGGCCAGCCCTGGCCGGTTAACAGCAACGAAGGATTTAAATGGCAGAATGCGGGCCTGTTTGCATTGTCCCTTTAAGGGACTTGGTGTGACCAGCACAGGGCAACCAGAAACAAACTAGCCCCCAAACGGGAGCAGCTGTTTGCTGAGCCTGGCATTGGGCCAACAATCCTGATGTTTGCTCATTCAACACAAACTGGGTAAATGCAGAGAGAAAGCACCGATCTTCAGACTCCAGAGAACCGCAGCTTCGTAGGAAATGCTGCTGAAAACATCTCGTGGAATTATAAGATTTCCATTGATAGCCACCCTTGTGACTCTGGTGTGACCCCTGCTTAGACATTATGGTATGCAGGGAGCTTGATGGGAGGGTGTGCATGAGGAGGCGCAGCCTTTGTTAAATGGCATCTAGGAAGGCAAGCTCGCCTTTCAGAAACCGGAAACGACTCCTTCAGGTTCTGTGTGGCAGTTTCACACA